CTCGAAAACAGTCCGATTTGGGTTCAAGTAGAACATAAGGTTGACGGAAAGTCGGGAACTGCGCCTACCTGATGAGCCCAAAACAGGAGGGCAATACCGGTCGTGGGCTGTCGGAGAGTTTCCAGCAATCTTGTTAGTAGTTTCTTTTATTAAAAGCGGTACCTGCTTGACGAAACACAAGGTAGCTGGCAAATCTGTCCGGTCTTGCGGCATAGGATGGGCTTAGTCCCCTAGTCTCTATCGACTTTGCATGTTGACTGAACACCTAACTGTAGACAATTGACGAAACTCACCTGGTCGAACACTATACCACGATAGGGCAGGTAAACTGTCAAACGAAATAGGAGACGGCTTTTACGCAGTGCGTTTGGTCGAAGACTCACTCGGGTCTCTCGTTGACACCAGCACAAGTTTTTGTTGATGATAATTTTGAACATAGGTATGTGCTGCTTGACTATTGGTCTGCTCGCCGAGCTTGGCAGTTGGATTGCGAACGTTTCATCAACCACTTAGGTGACATCGTCAGCGCAGTGTTGAATGGGTGAATTCTTCCTGCTTCGCCTGTGCTAATATGGTTTCTAAACAGCATTGGTAGCTCTAAAGCGATCGTCTAAATCCAAGAAGACAGTGGAGTATAACAATTCCCTTGGGGCAATGTTCAAATACTTGATTGCAAGAATAAGACGAGAAATATAATTTGCCGGAAAATGATGCTCCACACAAAACTCGGTCAATAAACACATCGACATTGACCCAGTCTATCAGCCATCACAAAGACTGCTCAGTAACGGGACTCTGAGCACGTGGGAAATCAAGAGGCCCAACCACAATCAACGGATTAATCGGGAGAGGAGAAAGAAAACTACTAAAAATAGAAGGACACTGAACAGACTAATCAGGTTAACAAAGCAAGCAAAAAAAAGCCCACTCACAACAGATGAACAGAACTGCCGAATTGAATGTGCTGCTTATAAACCACATTAGCACAGACAGAAGAGGGAGTATTCACCTAGTCGACGACGGACTGATGATGTCACCTCGATCGGTGATGAAACGCTTTCAAACGCCAAAAGTTCGACGAACAGACCAACAACCAAAGAAGTTGGTATATTTTCTCGGATTGCTATTTAGTCTTGAAATCAGCCGCTGTTTGACTGAGATTAATACTGGAAAACGTCACTTGAAAAGTCCCACTGATTTGGTAGTGTTTACAATCTTCTCCTTGGGAATATTTGTTTCGGCGATAACCGAGCCGAAAACGATGCATCGCGCCTGAAACCGCCAGTTTTTGGAGTGTACTTTTGAACCTTTAGAACCAACCTAGGTCTTCTGGTACAAACAGTTATATTAGATGTGGAGGCTAGCAAAACCGATATCGTAACCAACAGAGTTGGACCAAAAATAACTTTAACGAAATTCACCTAGTTGCATGTCAATTTGTTTTTGATGAGAACCCAGCTAAATCTCTCGTTTATGACGTCAAAGAGTTTTCAGCTTCTATACGGAAATGACATTGCCTCTCAGCCACTTCATCCGGTGGAAGAAAAACTGGCGACAAAATCTGCATGCTGCTGGATATGCTTTCAAAGTTATCAGGAAATCTTCAATTCATGCAGATACGAATGAATCGTGTGATGCTCACGCTAATGTCAAAAAAGTTTACTCAAAGCATGCTCTTTTCTGGCTCGAATCCCTCATCGTCATCATCTAGGCGAAGCAACGTGAAATAAATACGCATCTCCAAATATTTGTTTCCTTACAAACAACTATTTAGAACGAAAACAATTGACCAAAATTATCCTTTTGACGAAGCCAATATTTCACTTAATTTCACGAAACGATTCCGCAGTTTACTAAAATATCTTCGCAGAAAAAAAAACAAATTAGAGGAGTTAGCTCTCTTAGGTCTTGGATCAATTTTCCCTTTTGTGAGTTGAATGTGCAGGAACGGTCTTTAGACATTTTCACCAAAATTGCCGATGCCATAATCTCCCCCTACACAAACATTTTACAGGAAAGATGTCCGAAAGCTACATTAGCGCAACTCGGTCCCTCTCGTCAGCAGCACTGTGGAATCATCGATCGTCACAATTGATCGTCACAAGCAGGACAGTTACTGGGTCGTCGTTCGATGCGTCGGGCACACCAATCACATCGCTCAAGTGTGAACACATTCGCCTGTTCAGACGCGATAATTCAAATGCGTCCAACGTGCGTTGGTGGAGTGGTGGTTACGCGTTCGCCTCGCATGTCAGATTCCCAGGGTTCAAATCCCGGCACAGCCATTGGATATGCACTACTGATGAGCGCTAATAAGAGCGAAACTCGAGTCCAGTGCTTCCGTTTGGTGTGGACTCACCGGAATAATTACGCCAGAACAGGAACACGACCATTCAAACGAGAGTGATGTGACTATGAACAAAATAGCTATCCCGCAAAACTCCAAAATTGCACTGTGGAATTGTTCGCAAAACACGGCCACGGTGGACTAACGTACACGTAACCTACTTCTTACTTCCGCTATGTGACTCGATCAGGATGGTACTCGAACGTATCTGGGTTGAAGCAACGACTTTTCAAATACTGTCGATCGCTTTGATATGTCAGCATATCAGATTGGTTCACCCGACTCGCGATGGCTTTCGGTATAGCAGATGTCTCGCATCCAATCACCTACAGTTTTGAGCGGATAATTCTATATCCTTAACTATGTTTTTGGAGTCGAAGCCATCAAGAACGTCGTAATGTGAACTTTTAGGTTGTATGACTGGGAGACAAATGTAATCAATGATGTCATGATAACCACCAGGCAGATTTTGGGACTCCTTGCTTTTAACCAGTTAACGATGCTAAAATTGTTTAAATCTGCGGAATCAGATGTAGTTATGCTAGCAGAAGGAGAGGCATCCAAGTATACAACGGCCCTCGGAGACAATCCAGCTGAGTGCTCTGACGAAACTAAGCAACTGGTGATTGGATGTCGAAGAAGCGTGACTGGTTATTGTGTCATAGCACAAGAACTCATGATCACGCAAGCCCGTGTCATATTTGTAAGAGGGGATGACAGCATGGGAACATCAGAGCGGGCGAAACCTTTAAGGGAGACCCTGATGTTCAATGAAAGCACCCCAAACAAGGTTGCTCCAGGGATAAGGCTAACTCAACTTTCTTGTCGACACTTATTTGCCTGGAGCACCTCCAGTTTTTCCCATGCTGTACTTCGAATAACCTACATGATCACATTAAAAACCACTTGGAGCAAAATCTTCTCCAAATGGCTCTGAGATTCCTTGTATACCCCAACTTGATGTGCTGCTCCAAAAAGAAGTTCAGAAGTACGCATAATCAGTCTGTCTCCCTAGAACGACTGTGCATGGTCCACACGAACTGTTGATAGTTGAGCCCTCTTGACTTCTGTGTTATTTCCGAAGTAACTGACCTTTCAGTCACCCAAGATTTGAAATAAAGTATTGACCATTTCGCCCTTCTTTAATCGTGTGATAACTCATATCTAGAATGCATGGTTTATTTTGCTCATCCCAACGCTCGTGAAACATGTTCGTGGTAGTTATTTTCACCAAACTTCGATCTGATATTGGGCTTGGTGGATTGAGTTAGTGACTTCCACATACAATCCAAATAGTGTGTCAGAGTTATACTCTTCACCCACAGCCTGGCGGAGTGGCTTTTAGCCGACGGAGTTCATACTGTAACCATTGTTTGCCGAAGAGAGTGTTGTTTTCCATGCCCACTTCAGAGGGGCGTAAACAGAGAGGTGGCCAACCCTTGACTTGGCAGAGGAGTATGAAGGAGATCACGAAACGCTTGGGTGCTGTCGGTGCTACTCGCCTTCCAGGATGGGGACCGCGTGATCCTCACTGTGCCTGGTTGGAGACACTACAAGATATGGCTGCCAACTGATGTCAGTGGCGTTCCTGTTGTCAGTTTCTATCCAGATTGCCTGAGTGAATGTCTGGAGGTGTAGGCATCTCGGAATGATCGTGGTAAGCTAGCACCAAGTCTCTCCCCCGTCCACCTTTACTCTTTTCTTTACAATAAGGCTTTCAAATAAATCATGGTTTCCAGACATTGAAGCATCATTGATGATGATGATAATGATGATGATTATACTGTAACCATAACCGAGTATCTGAGACTTTTGTTGTCAAGACACCGCAGATGAACTTTCAGAAACATTAACATCAGCGAACCAGTTGGGAGTATCCGCTGTGGCACAGCGTAAAACTTAATCTTTGCTGACATCTGGTTTTTTCACATTCGTGTCTCTATCTTGATATTTGGATTCCAGAGAAAAGTATGGATTCTCTTTCCGTCTGGCTAGTGTAACCTGCTTCAATATAGTGCCCGAGGGTAATTTGTTTAAACAGAATAAACGAAGTCAGCACATAAAATGCTTTGGCGTAAATGCTTCGGCGTGCTGTGTGCGTACCTTTGTCAAAATGCAGGCCTGCACCCAGCAACTTAAGAATAAAATGAGGGTTTTGAGCTTATCACAAGTACACCATATGGTATAGCTATCTTCCTCTTCGTATGGTGTCAAAACAAGTTATCTGCTTCAAATAACCCGGACGTTTTTTTCACAGACATTCTGAAGTGCTCGATAAAACAGTGAACAGACTAACTGTCAAGCAATCAGGGTTCCTTGTTTCTAACCCGTTAACGATTCTAAAATTGTTTGAAAGCTGCAGAGTTAGATGTAATTATGCTAGCAGAAGGAGAGGCATCCAAGTACACAACGGATCTGGGAGACAATTCAGCCAAGTGCTCTGACGAAACTAAGCAATTGGTGATTGGTTGTCGAAGAAGCGTGACTGGTTAATGATAGTTCGGACGTAACGATCATGCCATGAAAGTTCATGACACTATGCACATGGAGATATCCAAAATCAAGTGGTCTCGTTCGATCAGGATTCTCCATACAGGAACGTCCTTCAGGACTAACTGATTTTATTGCTGCGATTTTCGTTCGCTCACACCTGCTTCCCCTGTGGTGTATAATTGCCCCGTTGCATTTTAACCAAGGGCAAATGTAAAGTGACATACGAAAATGTCAGCAGACTACGGCCAATTTCACCGCCAGTTGCTGTCAACAACACATCTAAGCGCTTGGGTCACGGTCAACGACCGTAGTCGCAACCCACAAGGATGATGATGCATTGTAGAGAACAAACTGTTTGATGATGTTCAGCAACCTCATGAGTAGTGTGTCCCATCAAGAAAATCCCATACTTGCCATTCGTGGTCTGATAACGCAACAATAATAATTGTTTGAGAGTAAAGTTCCATAGGAGCGTCACGTAATAATCTTTTTTTAAGAATTCCAGGCATCATATGTAGTATTATGTATTCTGACAGAGGATGATAGTCCGGCCCATCTCCAAAATAGAAGGGTGTATCACACGGGTTATAGGGTTTCCTATCTACCAGGATCTTGTATTTTCTGCTAAATTCACTCAGTTAATTCGACATAAAAGTGATGAATCGTTAATCCAGGGTCATGTGTTGTTCATCCTCAATACTGTCAAGTTCATACATTGAATATTTCCGAGTCCAACCGCATGAGTAGCGTAAACGTATCCACCGAAGTTCTTCACCTGAAAACCTAACTCTAAGCGTCACTAGGTGGAATACATTTGCATCAGAATCACCTCTTACAATAAAACAGACAAAATTGTGCTTTCCAAGACCCACGTGCCTACTTTAGTCTGTTTAATGTGATACAATCAAAGCATCAACATACTGCAACATCGTGCGTAAAATGTTCTCATCTGTGATCAGTTGGATGTGTCCAAAAATCTACAAATTCTGATGGTATGCGCTTTTTCCAACTCCGGATGAATTAGAAGAACGCCATTATCGAACATTCGGATAGCCACTCAAAAGAACCTACCCATGACTGAGGCTACCTAGAAAGTTACAATAAATTCAATATTTCCTCGTCTACCGGTGATACTTATGTACATGCGTTCGGTCCCTAAACACTGAAAGATTTCGTCCTTCCCAGAAGCCACTTGAAGCCCTAGGCGTCCCAAAAGATAATGCCTTCTGATCAACAGCATTTGTCACGAATGATCATTCAAGCCCAGTATTGACCACCCACCATAAAAGCCATGCCGGCAGGTAAGCAAATCGCCAATCGACTGATCAGCGTGCTGCCCTCTGAAGGATAAACGTAAGGCTGGAATGGTTGTGCAATGCCCTAGTTAACCAGGTGCTAGCAAGCAACCCTTCAAGTTGGTCTGGTAGCTTCCACAACCTGTTACCCAGGTTTCTGCTAGCAACTCCATGAGTTAACTAATCACCTGCTCCGTGTAACGCGCAAACAATGCAACTGACCGAGATAAGATGTTGATGCATGTGTGAGAATAGTGATAACACGAGTTCCTAGCTTCAGGCAGAGAAAAATTCACATAGTTTCGGTAGAAGCCACATTCCCCTGGGAATAATCCATGGGCCTCAGTGCCTAACTTTATAAAACCGCTTATTTCAATTAACTACTCATGTTTCACAAGTAGTACGCCTAAAAATCAATTGAAATGTATCAGTGCCTCGTGGATTAATAGATTTTGTGGTCTCAAGAATACAGGTTAATGGACAGACTTTGTGGTCTCAAGAATACAGGTTAATGGACAGCTGTAGCACAGTGTAAGGTGCATCAAATCCAAAGTATGACAGGTTAATAGGGACTGTAACACCCGTCAGAATGATCGAATTCTGCCCCACTCCATACGATTCCGCAAGCATAAACTACTGGGTTGGAAAAAAACGGTGAGGTGGCTTACTTTTCACCATCGGATTGCAAAACAGGCTGATATAGTTAGGCAGTAGTGAGCTGGGAACAAGAAATGTTACTGAAAAACGGACATTTTACACGTCTACGCACTACCTTCGGCTTAATGATTAAACGATGTGTCAGAAATATCGGGAAGCGACAGTCACGTGGAGAAGTCCCTGAGATTAACAGTGAATGGAAAGACAGATTGAACCAACCAGATGATAGATACAATGGAAGGAAAATTTGAGGCCATGGATATACGGACTTTAATGACCTTTTTGGAGTATCTACCCAATGAACGTGGGCCGAAAATTCTGCTCACATCTGACTAGGACCCGGCAGCATTGAACCGGTAGCACGATGAACCGATGTTTCGCAATACAGTTGGAAGTTACATCCTTCAATCGATACCCACTACAGATCACAATAGAATGGAATCGCATACAAGTTTAAACACATTGGAAGTATTAAATTCAATAGTCAGCACTTGGGTTTTTGTGACCAAACGTGCGCGAGTTGTGTATGAAAAAATTTAATACAGTTTGATCGCAGGTGTCCACTGACAGCGCATATTGGAATGAGCAAGACTTGAGTGTTACTCTCAATTCTAGGATAGCATTTATTCTTACAGTCTGTACGTGCACTTCAACAAACACTGCGACTCTTATTCAGTAGAAGGTAAAGTTCAATCGAATGCATCATGGTAGGACCCCATCTCAGTGCGAACAAAACACACTAACTTCGATAAACAACGCTCTTTTTGTGGAATGGGGAAAAATCGAACCTGACGTGTTTCAAATCGATTTTATTAGCATGTAGTTAGTTAGCATTCTGGTTCGACCATAAGTCCGTCGCCAGTGCTACTCCAGTAAAAATACACGTCGTTTCCATTCTGTTAGACTATTTTACGCGTTGCTTTCCAGTTCTTTCGTACAAAGTTGTGCGTGCCCATTGACTCAAAGTGGAGCTCAGCAGCCACTTCCTAGCTGTGAGCTTGCAGTATAACTATGCTTTGGTTGGAGCAGCAAGAATGGCGGTCAGAGTGAATTTTGTATCAACTGGCCGGCTTCAACATGTAACCAAGACCCATGGTCGCGTTTTTAGGAGCTGCATCTGACTAAGTTGCTAACTACTTGGGCTTGCTCAGTAACACGGTGACAGAATTGTTTTTCATTCCTCATCAGCAATCGGTTGTCATGTTTTTTTCGTTGTTCCGTAAGATGGTACGGTCATGTTATTTTTGGAAACAAAACGACAAAAATGGGTGCAAAGAGCATATTTGACGAATACGGATTTATACAAGACTTGACAAATATGTGAACCTTTATTTCTCTAAACTAAGCATCATAGAAAATTACACGGCCATTGTGATTTTTGGCCTCAGATTATGATATAGTTCGCCGAAAAGGAACACAGGCCGCGTTTAGTTCGCTGAAGTCATGTCCTCAGCCAAAACCATCCTCTAGCCGATAATTTCAAGGTGCATTACGTCCTGCCTATTTGGATTGAGACGGGCCACAAGATATTCCTCAACCAGGATTCACACCTTTTCTGGGAGATTTTCAACTCCACCAAGTCATCCACGCCGGCACCGCTTGAGTGTCACTTTATTACCATTTTGAAGCTTCGAGAATCCTTGTTCATTTAACACACTCTGTACGGTTTAAGGCTAGCTCAACTTTCAGATAATCAGCAACTTATGCTGTTCTATTTTCGGAGAAATTTCGCCACCCATATTTCCTCTCCAGATGGGCAGCTCCTCTAGATGTAATACCCTTCAGGATGGGATGATTTTGACAAGCAGAAAATGGTTTACCATTCAGTGCATTCTAATAAACCTTCCGGACTACAAATTGAAACATATTATGGGAAGCATGTGCTCACATCATTCATGATCTGAAGCTCTCGGGAAATACACTCATTTGCTAATCAATTTGGTTTTCACGAAAGACTCTAATTAATCTCTCGTTTATGATATTCTACAACTAAATGTGCTGCATACAGGCCACCTCATGCTTTAGTTGGTACGATATTCGAGATATCGCAGTATATTTTCCAGAAGGAAACTACTCACAAGGTTGCTGAAATCTCTACGACAGTCCACGACCGGTTTCACCCTTCTTGGGGACAGCGCCTACCTGATGAACCCCAAGAAGAGCGAAACCGGTCGTGGACTGTCGGAGAGTTTTCAGAAACCTCGTGAGTAGTTTCCTTCTTGAAAATGCACTGCTGTCTAATGCTGTTTGAACTAAATGCAGGAACGGAGCAGGAATGAAAGAGGATACGCAACTGGCGGCGAGTAGGTAATAAACAGACTTGTGCATATTAGGCTATAGAAAAAGACAGGAAAAAAAGAGGTAAACTACCGCCGATAGATTTAGTCAATGCAACATGCACATGTCGAGCAAGGGGGAATATGACGGATAAACGCATCGGTAGATTGGCTTTATACGTCTGCTGAAGGGATGACTGGTTCGCTCACTTCCGTGTGCCGGTGTTCACCCATGGGACAGTTTCAAAATTTGTGCAGAAGGCACGCCAGCACCAGATTAAAAGTTATGTAGACTGATGGTTAAACGGATGCTCTCTACGCAGCAGTAGAGAACTGTCTTCAGAGTAGTTCCGGCGTGAAAATAACAAAATCCAGGCAGGTAATTTACTTCTTGCCTGCTGAATGGACTAGATTTGGAAAACAGCCAATCCCATTTTTTTGCACAAGGATGCTTCTGTTCTCGATTATCTTTGATGTTGTGACTCTCAGTAATCAGTGATGTTTCACTATCGTATTTCAGACAAGTGGTCTTGATACAATGTAAAAAAAAGTTATCACTCGCACCCAGGGCGAACAATCGTCTGATCTGTCAAATAGTCAGAAAGGTGAGATATGTTAAGCCGTGGATTCTGCAGTTTTTCGCAAAGTTTTGGACCATGTACGCAAGGCAAAACCTTGTAAAAGCGTGTGTTGACAGGCGTTGTCGATAGAAAACAAGGTTGAATTCGCAAATTATCCCTTTGGACGCTGGTTCGAAGCATCGATCCACATAGCCGTGAAACCTCCAAATATGATCTTGGGCTCATTTGTCTTTCTCAGCACCCTAGCACCAGCACAATCACTCCTGGACCATATGTCATATTCGACTGATCAAAACTTCTTACACCAATAGAACTGTGTGGCCGACCGCAGACTGAGTTCCATCAGTGGTGTCATCAAAACCATGTAGACGAGGTCAAGAATAATCCATAGCTTTTAATTCCGGAATGTTTCCAACACCCGGCAAAATAACACCTTCATCGGATGCAGATTTCGGGCGGCATAGCACGCCGATAAGATGTCCAGAGTTCACAAGCATCGGTCACTTTCAGAGTGCAGAACAATTTGGCATACAGATGGGAGATGTGGTTCGATATGCCGTGTTCATACACTTTTGGACAGGATTTTACACTCCTCTAAAACCGTATCAGCACAGTTGGCAGACTTTAAAGATTAGACAGCAATCCAGGGCGACACTGGTCAGTACCCGGACACTATGAAACAGATGGGACGAGATGCTGCTTCACTAACGATACACTGAGGGTCATTGGGAGCAAGAGGAGACTATGCACACGAATAGAGGAACACAACACGGTCGTCAGGAGGCATGACCCCCTGTCCTTGATATCCATACACGAGGACCGAGAAGGCCACAAATTCAATTTGGAAAACGGAAAAATTTTGACAAACGGAGGCACGAGACACGGGAGAGAATTTCCGGAAGCATGCCACTCCACGGGAAATTCGGTCAACCGGTGCATCAAACTGGACCCAATTTACGCACCCCGACGTGCAAAGGACCAACATCTCAACCGGAAAACTCAAGGAGGACCGAATATTGGATTCACAAACAACGAAACAAGGAACTCCTTGGAGGCAAATCAATAAAGGTCATAACCCAGGACTCGAAAGGACAAAGATCACTCCAGCATCGACTCGATTACGACGGCAGGGGATTCCAAGCTCAATGGTCACGTGGGCATCGGCGAATGGGAATACAGGACAACTAAGAAACCAATGGAATCGCCCAACCGAACAACTAATCGCGATCAAAGGTCATCCCCTGCTAGCAGCACGTATATTAACACACGCGCAACACTACCCAGCGCACAACTACTAACCCACCGCTACGCAAAACTACGCTCCCCAAACCTCGATTGGTGATGAAACGTTTGCAATCGAATTGCCCAGCACTAAAGCATTTTCGAGAGTGGTATCACCGACAGACACTTCATTTCGGAAGCACACTGGTCAACTGATCAGAACTTGTATCAAAATCAGAAGGCGAGATGTTTGGACTACAGATGGATAAATCGATTCTATGCGTTAGTTCTACTGCGTTGATTGCAAGGTTGCAATATTTCGTGAGTGACTGCAGACTCCAAAAGGATAGACTGGCTGCCGAATAAAAAGATAACCCCAACTTTTAACGTAGTCCAACTGTTTCTGGAGAACGCAAATATAAAACAGAGTTAACTCTGTGGTTTCTCACCACTGAGGCTCAAGTACCTATGGGAAATATCAGATTTAACTATTTAGTGGGTTACTTACAGCGAATATTTTGTTTTCGAGCGCCATATCCTGAGCCATACATATCGCTTTTACTGGAATACAGTTGAAACTAGCTTTAAGAGGGGTAGGATATGGCATGATATCTGCCAGGATGAAAATGATTCATGCTACATGATCCTGCCCATCAGTGGACTGCTTCCGTTGCTCAGGCGCGCTAACCTCGCTCACCCTGCAAGTCTTTGTTACAAATTTTACACAATCATTAAGATGCATAGGTCTTACTGCCTCCGTGTTATTTCAAAAAGCCTCGGAAAGGTACCTTTCCCAAGTGGGACCTGAACGCGGTAAACCTCACAGTAAAATGCACACTAGTGAGTGTACCAGTACAGGCTACTAATCACAGAATTCCCCTAGGATCAGGACGTTACAAACAGCTTGTGATACTACTGACAACCCACAAAACCAGCCGGCTCCATCCTGTCAGTGGACCGAATGTGGTATCTAAAATGACGAGTCCGTCTTTCCAAACCGCTTCTAACATGTATGTCGCCCATAACACCTAACTCCGTAAATTAGATTCACCTTTAAGCAGAAGTGATACACATGACTGTAGCATCGCTGACATGCGCTAACGAAAATGGACCAGAATGCAACCGCCGTCTGACTGAATTTGGCTTGGTGTTAGTATAATTGTGAAAGCGTGTTTGTCTCAGACAAAACTGAAGCTCAGTATTAAAAATGCGGTAGCATCACACCCTAGATGACACTCATATCAAACGGTAAAACTCAGGGAACAAGAATCGTAAATAACTGCCTTACGTCTCATTACTTTGTGATGTTCCAGTGTAAACAATCCGTGCTCAAGAGGTTTCCACAAATTTCTTCGAATGGAGCTCGTGTTTTCAGGAGGACTCTTGAAAAAACAATTTCTGCAGTTTTCATAAAGGAAACTACTCACAAGGTTGCTGAAAACTCTTCGACAGCCCACGACCGGTTTCACCCTTCTTAGGGCTCATCAGGTATGTGCATTCCCCAAGTTTCCGTCTACCTTATGATCTGCTTGAACCCAAATTGCACAGTTTTCGAGAACTACACTCACTTGCAAATCAATTCGGTTTTCACGGGAGACTCAATTGAATCTCTCGTTTATGCTGTTCTCCAGCTGAATGTGCTGCACACAAGCCGCCTCATAATTCAGTGGGCACGATCTCCGAATCTCCCGTGAAAACCGAATCGATTTGCAAATGAGTGCATTTCTCGAAATTTTCTGCAGTTGTTTCTGTTATGCGACTTTCCGAAGGGAGGAAAAACTTGCTGTCTGTAGTGCGAGGAGACTTGAGAATATTATAAGGGATTTCGTCAGGACGGAATCTGCACTTCTTGCTTTGGCTGGTGGGTCGAACTCCCCAGCATGTCGACTGCTCTTTTCTAGCCTTGGCCAACCCGGAATTTGGTCGTGATTCCTACGAGTGACATGGCAGCTGGTGCTAAAAAATTGTCGCATCTGAACGACTCTAGTATGATCAGTTTCTGTTCCTGTGTTGAGTTACCGTGGGATTTTTGTCACACAGTTTGTAGGCAGGCATCCTTTTGTTCATCAGCGATTTTCGTGTATTTTTAAACAGTTCTGGGCAAGTGTAAACACCAGTGTGGCTAGTGCCCGATTCACTGCCGGGATTTACTGGCTACCAGTAAGTAAGGCTGCGCGATGAAACACATTTTCTAAGCATTCATGGAAGCAGTGTAGCCATTGCCGCTTGTAAGTTTGTCGGTGGGCGAATGTATCTCACCGACGAGCTGCTTTGATGGTAAAACGAGGGAAGACGTTCATCACGCGACTAACTACTGGGAGAGCTAATTTTTCAGGCAGCCGTTGATTTGTTTTGTAAGGTTTGAAGTGGTGCTGATGCTAAATAAGTCATACTAGCTCGTCAATTTGAAAACCGGCAGTTCTCAAGCACGTCTTATTGAGATTATACTAGAATGTACAGGTTATAATGTAGCGGAAAAAAGGCTTTTTCTATTTTTTTTTCTCCTCAAAATATGTAGAGGGGTTATCAATACTAAATTTGCTAAGCCTCGTTTATCTCCCCTTATTATTAATTTCTAAATATAACCAAGAATGACAGGAGAGCCACATTTTATAAACTTTCCCTGTTGCTTTTGTATTAAAGTTTTCTGGAATTTCTTTCCCGCATTTGTTTAGTGTGGAACGCATGGAATGCCATAATGAAACGTTCAAAACCTCAAATTTGGGGTCATCTATAATGAACCTGAATATTGTGAAAGACCGCAAGCATATAACATATAACAATCACAAGGAAACAGCATTACTTTGAAATAACATTGAAACCCAGAAATAGCTTGATAACCTGAGAAACCGCATGAGAAAGATCGAGGGATAAGAACCTGCAAATCAATGAAAAGAATAAAGCTGAATAATAATAAAAACACGAAGAAAGTTTGTTCATTCAGGTAATGTGATCTCCGTAAAGACACGAAAACTCGTTCACAAGAAAACAAAAATTTCAAAACTAAACATACACTTCACATCTGAGTCATATCCTCAGAGCCCGG